ATCTTTTTAACTTCACTAGTAGTTAACATCCTTTTGATATTCTCTCCTAGTATGTCAGTGTGTTGGGAAATGAGTAGGCAGATAGACTGGCCGGTTCTACACTACTTGACGGTGATCTGATGTATGACAAGCTGGATGTTCTGAGGGCCTTCTGGGAACAAGTGAACAGTGCAGAAGCGCAAATAGATCATTACGGCCTGAGGAGAATGGCACTGCAGGAGTTAACTAGGGGATCTGGCCAACGCTTAGTACTCAAGGGACAGGCGAGACGGATTTATAGACAGTTACTGGTGTCATCAGAATTTAAACTCTTCATTGGCTGCCGAAGATGGGGACGGAGCGCTTATGGGAGTGTCCTGAGGGCTATGATTCATAATTCAACAATCAATGTGTGTTTTTTTTTGTCTGCCTTTATTTCTATGCTCCTGTTTATTCCAGTACAAAGACATTCTAGTTATATTGTTCTTAGATTTTCTCAGCGTGCGTCCTATTCAATGCAAGCATCTTTTCTTCACCTCTTGGTCCATTGGAACCTGTTTAGCTCTCTCCCAAACCTCAGCATTAGTGATTTTATCATACTTTTTAATTCCCTGTATTCTGCTCAGACACCAGTTAAGAAGTTCATGATTTCTTTATTAAGAACTATAAATTATGACCACAAGAACTATAGAGAATGGCATAGTATTCTTACACTTGTTTCAGATGGTTCTTGCAGTCATTAAAAAAAAAAAATGGTACTACTAGTAAGCTATTAAATTATATGGATTAGTTTCAATTTAAATGTGATCTACATTACCTGGTAATGTCCTAGGAAGTAAAGTTGGTTGTGCTGATTGATCTATAACAAATATGTGTCTAGCACCATTTACCTAATGTGTCAATGATGTAATAAAGGTCCTAAACTGTACTTAACTCTTTCAGTCTCCGGGAACACATCATAAGTTCATAGGTTTCTTTCGTAGAAGCCCAGGAATGCAAGATGGGCCAATTTTACATCTCTTTTTAACTATCCCTTGGACCTCTGATGCTAAACCCCCTGGGACTGAATGAGTTAAGTTGGGTCTACATAAAGATTAGAGAAGACATTTTAAAATATAAAATTTGTCTAATTTGGCACACACAAAATTAATACCAAATGTTACTCAACTAAATAAATTGGCATCTCATTTAATCCATTAAGCACTATAGAACACATCTAAGATTTTTTGTTTGGCTTCTCTAATTTACTCTAGTTTCCATCTTATGTTATATTAACTCACTTTGTATCATATAACTCCTATCAGATAGTTTAAATATTTTTTAAATTAAATATAAAAAAAAAATTTAAAAAAACAACATATTTTTGTCTCCAAAACTGTTACTATAAATTACACCAGTTTTGGATAGAAGCGTTTAAGTGACAACTGTCGGAAACAGACAGTTAACTGTCGGAAACAGAGCATTAGACTCGGTTTCAGTTGTAAGCAGATGAAATATTTTTTAATTATGAGCTTAATATCAGTAACATAAATATTAAAGACAAAATATAATTTTTTTCACCAGAAAAATCAAGTTTGCTGTCATGGTTATGTTTCACATGTTGTAGACTGAAAATTTTATTAACTTTTTAGCAGTGAATAAATTAACTAATTTAACCAAGTTAACTAATCATATTGGATGAAGTTATGTGTTTGTATTCTCTAAGATTGACATAAATACAAAGAAATACGTTGCCTCTACAATCAAGGATTGGCTTGTATAAATCATTTCACTAACCTCTAAGCCACGTAGATATCCTAAATATTTAGTCTTAAACTTTATTCTTATTTGAAAAATAGGAATACATTGTGAAACTTTCAAATAATTTTAGTGAATTCTTTTTTTTTTTTGGGTCAAAATTAATCCATATTATTTATGTATCATTGTAGATTATCAGGGAACCATCACAGATACAAACCATGCATCAATTTGAACACTTTGAGAATTGTTCTAAAAGTGGTCAGTAATTCATGAAGATGCTGGATCATTTCTTTCAAGTAGCCATAATTTTTAAAATATTGTAGCCAACTGCAGTTTCATCTACTGATTTCATGTAAGTATTAACTTGTTATAATAAACCTAAGTAACTAAGCACTCAACCTGTTATTACTTACTTAGTCTCCTCAACCTGTTATTACTTACTTAGTCACTCCTCTTCTACCTTGGGGTGTAGAGGTTTGCCAGAGAGATCGCCAAACTCTGTCAGCAGTTTTCTTTCTGGCTTCGTTCCATTCCAGTCCTCTGTAAGTTAGGGGCTGTCAAATGTTGTCTTCCCAGCAGACCCTGGGTCACCCTGGAGGTCTGGTTCCCTGATTCTTAGCCTCCCTTGCCTGCCATGGTGGCCAATTTTCTCCTATTCTGCATACATATCCAAACCATCGTAACTGTGACTGATCCTGATCCACTCGGGTTTATAAGGCCTGGGTATCAAGATCTTGACGTATTATTTGATTGCAGACTTTATCTCTTCTTGTCACTTAGACCACCTTTCACAGATATCTCTTTCTGAGACCTGAAGCTGACTTCTGTGAGCTTTTGCCATTGCCCATGATTCACACGGGTAGGTGGGGACTGGCACATAGGTAGGTGGGGACTGGCACATAGGTAGGTGGGGACTGGCACATAGGTAGGTGAGGACTGGCACATAGGTAGGTGGGAACTGGTACATAGGTAGGACAGTAGACAGCCATTTTCATCCTCTTGCCAGTTTCTAAGAAACCCTCCGTTTATGGCCTGGAAGAGTCTCCCAGCAGCTGCTTTTCATGATGCCAGCTCAGTCTTAATGCCTGCATTTTGGTCTTTATAAATCCAAGGTATTTGAACTTGTTGACCTGCTCCAATGCATACTGTCTTATCATGATCTGATGTTTCTTCTCCTCTCTTGAGATCCTCAACCTAAGTATTCAACTTGTTATATTAAACCTAAGTGCTCAACCTGTTATATTAAGCAAACTTGAAAACAAACAATCATAAATAAGACTATAGAAAGCTTGAAATGATTTGGTTGAGATCATATGCTCCAATGAAGCATCAGCAGCGCAGTGGCTATAAGCTTTTTTCATTACACAATACCAGCACTTTTTTGTGTGTGGGGGTGGGGGAATCATCTCTTTTAGACAATTTGGTGTGAGTACCGCCATTACTTTTTTTCCTAGAAAAAAAGCCCTGGCCCTAGGACATCCATGTTGTCCCAGTCTGAAATGGATACCTTGTAATGTCCTGGGAAATAAAGGTGGTTGGTACAATGCTGGCCTCGTCACTCATAACATTAGTCTATACAAATTGAGTTCTAGCACCATAATCTCAATGTGCCAATGGTGGGAACAAATCTGTGACTTGTACTACTTCCCATATACACCACTGGCTAGTGAAAGGTAGTTACAGATAAAAAAAAAAGTCCTGGCATTTTGAATGTTTGCGTGAACTTACATCTTACATGAAATTGTATATCTCATATTGTCCACTCAGAAGAAACGCAACATATGAGATGTTGCGAGTGAAAGTGAAGTTTGCTGGTCAGACATGGAAATGTGGCCTGAATCTTCATTTTCATGTGTGGACCTAAACTTTATTCACCTGATAATCATGAGTACTGTAAAAGCAATATCAGTTTATGGCTGCACAGATCTATAGCACTAGACCTCATGACGCACAGCTCACCACCCAGTTCCTCACTGAAAATACAACATCATGATTATTCTGTAACCAGCCATGAACCCCAAGGAATATTTTAAAAATAAACTTGACAGATAAATTTGTCAGTGAAACATTGCTCCAGCCAATGTTTAACAGTTGTCTCTTGTGCTCTGAGAAGAGTAGAAAGCCATCCCATAATAACAAATCTAACAACTAATCAGATCAGTGCAAAAGATGTGCCGTTCTCTAACAGAGGCCAGAGGATGCCACACACGACATTGAAATGGAGATCCCACTTGCAGAGAATAAAAGTGCAAACCAAATGTAATGAGGATCATTATATTGTTCAAGATGTAAAGTTTCTTCTTGTCAAGATCAAAACATTAATTCCCTCAAATAAAATGTTTCTACAAGTTTGAAGTTGGCTGTCCCCATTACAACAGCAGTTGTGCTGCATTTCTTTTTGTGGACAATATATTTTATAACATATTATATGATTGTGGCGGTGTATCGATAGAAGAACTAGCACATAAAACCAGTCATCTTTCTCTGTCTTCCACTTCATGGATCAGTATATTATAACTTAGTCCTGTCCATTTCTTGATGTTGTTATTCCAGAAGATTCTTCTTTGCCCTCCTCTCCTTGACCACCCCTCAGTGTGACTTGAAGTAAACAGTCCATGCAATCAGATCATGTCTCATGTGCTCAAACCATGCTAGCTTGCAACGTTTCACCACTGCCAAGAGAGGCTTTTGATGTCCTGAAAATGTGTATATATAGTTGTGTATATTATATAATTATTCTTAAAATATTCCACATGCATAGTATTTTTGTCTGTTTTAGTCCTACAAGCTGAGTTGTTTAAGCACTTTCTATATCAGTGTGAGTATTTGAGAGGTCCAGTCTTTGAGTCTGAATTAGTGAAAATAATTCTCCTATGGGCCAAAAATGAGTCAAGTGCATCTGGTATATAAGGATTTAACATAACAGAAAAAACGGGACAGAGGGAGTTGAGAAAAGTATAAGGAAAAGATGTGAACGCTTCATAATGCCGGGATGATCCCAGCTGCGGGCCATGCGCCTTGTGTTAGTTTTGACAGTGGTATCAAGAAAGCTAACCGTCCAGAAAACAATGGCAAACTACTGGACGTAAATTGGCCTAGAAAAACCACACAACAGCCAGGTGCTGTTGGGGTGGTTCTGCAACGTCCTGTAAAGGGTACGCAACTAACCTATAAGGGAACTAATAAGTTGTTTTGTTTTGAATGTGTTGAGTATGTTTATGTTTAAGAATGACCCTGCATTGTTTTCTTTGCCTTCTGTCTTGCTGAAGTTGGCTAGCATCATGCCTCTTTACATCAAAGGTAGGCAAGTGGATAAAGTGCCAACAGCGGATACCTTTTTTGATGAGTATCCACATTTTAAGGTAAGGGCTTTCATTGTTAGCTGCATAAAAGAACATTGAATGCATGGTTAGTTTTTGTTTGTACCTGCAGAGGCTATAAAGGCTTACTTGATTAATCGTATGCTACCTCCACAGTGAAAGTTGACTGCAGCGGATTTTCAACATTGTCTGCCTCTTGTCCTTGTTGTACACTCTCTGAGACACAGTTTGTCCAACTCTGAATGTTATTTGAATCACCTGGTTTTATCTTTTCCCTCTAGTGTGTGGGGGGTGAGAGGAGTCTTAGTTGTATCCAAGGAGGAAGAAATGCTATCTGAAAACTTGATGTTAAATCAAGGTAGACCAAGCTCTTAGCCTTGGCTGGCAGCTGGTCTAGGAGGGAAGCTCTTATAGGTGAGCAGACTTAGCACTGCTCATCTACCCCTCCCCCCTCCCCTCCTTTCACTTTCCCATATTTTGCTTTTACCTTTCCTTTGGAGTAAACAAGGCAAAACAGAAGAAGCATCATGCTATACAGGCAACATGTGGTTTCTACAATGCTGCCCAGGATTTGTGCAGTATAAAAGAGAAACTTAGTCACCGATCTTTCCATGCCTTTATGTAACGCAATATAAAACTATCACCTGGAAAGATGGAAAAGTAGATGTATTTTAATGTATTTATTTTTTTAAACCTTAAAAAAAATTCTTTTTGACTTTTTTTTTTGCTAGTCTCTTCAGACCAAATGTTCTGGATTTTTTTTGTTAAAGTCATTTTGCATTTCTTTAATTCCACTTTTAAAGATATAATGTTTACATTTTCAGCAATGTCATTTCCAACTTTTTTTTTAAAATGTTTATTATTTTCTCATTGAATAGCTATTTTTGTTGTCTTACAAATCTGTCAGTATTCATTCACAACACGGCTTTTAACTGTTTAAATACCAAACAGGTATTACACTGAACTCATTATGATCTAAGAATTTTTTGTAGCTTTAACTTTCCGTGTGAGTTATGGGGCTCCATTGTGGGGGGAGGGAAATAGACCCCCTGCCCCCTTTACAGGCATGTCATAAAAGTTGACTGATCAGGTGTGCTTCCTTCGAAGTCAGAGTGCATATGTCTGAGAGGCAAGGAACCAAAAGTCTGCATACAATTAAGCCACATCTGTAAAATGGATGTGCATGCTGATCTCAAGTTCTGGAACAAGACAACCTAATAAATGTTTGAATTTGAGGTGTTAAAAGAACACTAGTAGACAGAAACTGTTAAAGAAGAACACAATAGATCAGGAAAAGAAATTGGTGAGTCATAGGATGTTCATGAAAGTATATCATATCATTTGATATAAGCAGACTCATATTTTATTTAGGTTTAAACAATGGATCAGCATCATAGCACAAGGATAGTAACCCATAAGTGCTCCGTTCTACTTCTACTTCTGACTGAAGTCTGAGTCCGAAGAATCTCATCTCAGTGCATGAGTTCGGTAACACAGGCGAGGATCCTGAAATACTTTGGGTTGATTTTAAACTCCAAATTTTGCCCAGGCAATGTCGTTAGGCCACTCTTTTCAATCTCCAACTGTCAAGGGATTTTTACCTACGCAGCAATACACAGGAGCATCAGATAGTACTACCCAGAGACCAGGGAAAAATTACTAGAAGTCCATGTGAAAAATTCCCAGCCTTCACAGGAGCCTGAAGTCGGGACCTTCAGCACTTGAGGCGGACACCATGCCTCGAAACCACGCAGCCCCTCTCAAACTCATGGTAGATTGTTTGATACTTGAAGAGTTAGAAGATGAAGTGAGTCTGCAACATGATCATTGCAACAGCAGGAAAGCATACTAGAAGACAAGAACAAACAGCATTCATAATTATCTGCTGGATCGTGTAATTTCAAGTTTCTGTTTTGATTTGAACAATGAAGACACAAACAGTTGATTGTCAGTTATAGCCTGGCATATGTCACTGAATCTCATTAGGTGTCTTCTACGCTTTTGTTTAAATTTTAGATTAGAGAAACATTGCTATATTTTTCTGTTTTGATTATTAGTAATGTTTCCCCCCCCCCCCCCCCCCCCCCTTTCTCCCATTGTATAGGAATCTTCAAGTTATCTATTAAATCAGGAAGTCAGGGAGGTTGGTCCAATAAAGCTGTTATATATTGGTCAGAGAGAAGTGGCTGGAACTTCTCCTTTAGATGGTGAGTTGTGTGGTCATGTGTTGTATTCCTAGATTAGACATCTTTGCTGATAAATTTTTTCCTTCCACACTTTTGGATACTCCAGTTTTTTTTAAACTCTGTTCTCCTTGACCTTCAGATATATTGAATCAAAGCTTTTGGAAGAAATGCTAAATTTAAGAAAATTCAAACCAACTGAAAAAACAATTTTGAAAATAAATAAATAAAAAACAAAAAACAGAAGAAGAAGAAGATCCTGATATCCCCAAACACTTCTGTGAGTTAACCGTAGAAAGAGACAAAGATGAAGTTGAATTGTTTTTTAGACCAAAAGTCAGTATCTTGGGGTCTGAGGGTAGAGAAAAGATTATTTTTGTCATCAGTATCCATAATTAACTGGATTTGAACATTTTCTGACTTATGTGTTGCTTTAAAGTTACTGCCATAGTGGCATAGTTAATTATGTTTATCCACAACTTCTTGATCACTACTGTCTCTGTCATGATGTACCCAAATAATGTAGACTGACTTTTTCTGATGCAGGTGTTCAATTCTCTTTGTGTGTTTCAGGATATTTCCATTATACATATAATTTGTACAGCTTCAGTGTAATTTTTGCACCAATCAGTTCAATGGCTATTTTTTACTTCTGTTCATAAAATTGGCTTTGTATTATTTTGGTTACAATATTGTTGTCATATATGTTTAAAACCAACATCCTGTTTAGTATTTGAAATCTAATTGTTATACATTTGTTTGTTTTGTTGTGTTTCAAATCTTCATCTGCAAGTAAGAAGTAGAAAACACCACATCATTTCTCATGGAACAACTTACACACAAACATGTTATACAAGCAATGAGTAAAGAGCAACTCAGCCATAATGCAGTAACCTATTATATTTCTTGCCTCAGGGACTTGGCTACATCTAGCTTATCATGCATAAATTCACTACTCATTGGTGCAGAAACAGCCAGTCTGTCTGTCTGTTCATTCTTAACACTCCTGCAAACCAGAAGAAATATCCAAATAACGCTAACTTCCCGGGATCTCTTGTCACTCTGCAGAGAGTATATCTGAAGTTGTGCTACATCCCAGAAGTACCTGTTATGGGATTATTGTCACCTTTCGTCTTTAAGTTCCTTTTATGGTGAAGAGGTTTAGTTGTTTGCTTCATGGACTGAAGGCTGTGGATATTTTTGTTTTTTAAACTTAGTACTTCTGTTTGTGTGGAGGGGAGTGAGGGTGTTGTGATCAGGTGTTTCAGGGGTCACTGGGGGTTGTTTCTGGGGCTGTAGAATCTTTGTTTTTTTTTATTTTCTGGGTGTTGACAAGCTGCTCTGCAGAATGATCAAGCCCTTTAGAATACAAGTCAGAGTAATAAAGTCATTCTTGTCACCTTCAAACACCTCTCATAACATATGATGTATTTCATGATTGAGAACAAGTTACGCAGATGTTTTAAAATTGAACTGGTTTGTTATTTTTCAGAAACAATTTCTATCCTTGGCTCAGAGGATGCAACGACCTGCCACATTGCAGTTCTCAGGCATACAGGTCAGTAACACTTAGATATGGTCAAATTGTGCTGCAGTTGTGACACACCAACTGTTGCATCACACGGACACCAGCTGACCATTCTCATGTAGCATGGTCAGTGGTTTATATTGATATGCCCCATCTGAGTTGGATCTACTGCCCTGCTCAACCGGCTCATGCCAAGTTCCAGTGTTAACTTGTTTATGATGAGTTGGATTTTGCAGCCAGTGCATTGTATGGGATTGTATGCTAGGGGTACCACAAGTCGGACCAAAATATAACCGACAGGGCTAGGGCAAACTTGTAACACTTGTAGATGATGTCCTAATGCATCAAAGCGAGTCAGAACAGTCACGGCATGACCAGAGACTTGCAAAGTGCTTTGCATGAGATGACAGAGTGGTGTGAACAGACAGGGTCAAGGATAAACCTAGAAAATGCCAGTGTTTTGTGGGGCTCCTTAAATTATAGCAATAAAAGAGGAAGACTTACCTGGCATATTCATAAAGAGTATAAATGTTAAATTAAGAATTAACCTCACAGCCCTTGGGACACTCCTATAAGTGCTCTGCCCCTATCTTCAGCAGCAAGTAAAGAGTTTCAATTCTGATGGTACTAGAAACTGTCTGATTGTATATCCAGCTCGCCTTTTTCTTGAGTGTTAAGTGTCGTCCAGATCCTGTGGTACCTCCTTGCAGTGCCTCTGCACTGTTCTCTTGCTTCCAAGGGGCCCTCACAACATCCAGCTTGACCTACATCAATTCACCACCAAGTGGTGCAGAACTGCCCAGTCTATCAGCCTGCTTGTTTCCCAACACACTGGCATGACCTGGAGAAAATATCCAAAGGACACAACTGCCCAGGACCTCTGAAGCGATACTTGCCACTCTGCACAGAGTATACTGTCTCCACATTTCTCAACATGCTCTGTTAGTCAGTTAAAATTACGACATATGTTTACAGCTCGTTCTCAAGCAGTGATTGCCTCCACTTCCATTCTCAAACTAGACATGAGATTAAAAGAAGCGATAGGTTAAAATACTTAAGTTCATGTGGAGCAGACTTTGATCAATTGTAAGTGTGGCCTGGTGGAAGATGATTATAGCGACACACATGGAACAGAGACAGCTGGCCTTATTGTTCAGCCATTGGATCCTTTCAGTAATTTATTACCGCATCAAGAATGTTAACTCTATCTACTTCACAGTGTAAGGACTCTGAAAGCAAGGTGAAAACAGGATTGCTTCAAACAGAGTGGCAAGCTTCATGCACAAGGTCACAGGTAGTGAGCATACTTTGGATCCTTTCTCCGGGCTATGCCAGCATGGTGGGGAAATGAACAGGCAGATTGGCTGGATCTGCACCGCTGGGTGATGAATTGATACATGACAAGGCAGATCTGGTCAGAGCCATTTGGGAACAAGTAATGATGTCAGAAGAAAAACTAGATTATTAGGGGCTGGAGAGAATTATGCACCTGGCTGTGGCCAGAGGGTGCGGTCGGCACCCTACACTCAGAGGAAAGGCATGATGGACATAAGCCAGACCTCACCCAGCACCGTTAGTATTGGAACTCTGTGCTGGTTGCTGAAGATCAGGATGGAGTTTATATGGGAATGCCCCGTGAGCTGTGATTTCAATTCTTGACTCAACTCAACTTCACAGTGTATAAAGTTTGAATGGGTGCAGAATGAAGGAATGAGAATTGTTTTGGGTGACACATGGGATGCACCATTTAGAACAATGAGGTATATGCTTGGGCTGACATCTGTAAAGTCTAGACTATCACTGGCACAAGCTGAGGCCTATTTGCATCTGCTGCACAAATAAATCTTTACGGTCTGAGGAGAATGGCGTTATGGGGAGTTCCCAGGGGATCTAGATGACACTCAGGGGAATGGCGTTATGGGGAGTTCCCAGGGGATCTAGATGACACTCAGGGGAAGGGCGTTATGGGGAGTTCCCAGGGGATCTAGATGACACTCAGGAGAATGGCGTTATGGGGAGTTCCCAGGGGATCTAGATGACACTCAGGGGAATGGCGTTATGGGGAGTTCCCAGGGGATCTAGATGACACTCAGGGGAAGGGCGTTATGGGGAGTTCCCAGGGGATCTAGATGACACTCAGGGGAAGGGCGTTATGGGGAGTTCCCAGGGGATCTAGATGACACTCAGGGGAAGGGCGTTATGGGGAGTTCCCAGGGGATCTAGATGACACTCAGGGGAAGGGCGTTATGGGGAGTTCCCAGGGGATCTAGATGACACTCAGGGGAAGGGCGTTATGGGGAGTTCCCAGGGGATCTAGATGACACTCATGGGAAGGGCGTTATGGGGAGTTCCCAGGGGATCTAGATGACACTCAGGGGAAGGGCGTTATGGGGAGTTCCCAGGGGATCTAGATGACACTCAGGGGAAGGGCGTTATGGGGAGTTCCCAGGGGATCTAGATGACACTCAGGGGAAGGGCGTTATGGGGAGTTCCCAGGGGATCTAGATGACACTCAGGGGAAGGGCGTTATGGGGAGTTCCCAGGGGATCTAGATGACACTCAGGGGAAGGGCGTTATGGGGAGTTCCCAGGGGATCTAGATGACACTCATGGGAAGGGCGTTATGGGGAGTTCCCAGGGGATCTAGATGACACTCAGGGGAAGGGCGTTATGGGGAGTTCCCAGGGGATCTAGATGACACTCAGGGGAAGGGCGTTATGGGGAGTTCCCAGGGGATCTAGATGACACTCAGGGGAAGGGCGTTATGGGGAGTTCCCAGGGGATCTAGATGACACTCAGGGAAAGGGCGTTATGGGGAGTTCCCAGGGAATCTAGATGACACTCAGGGGAAGGGCGAGACGGATGTGCAATCAGACAGTTGTTGGTACCAAAAGAATTTGAACTCTTCATTTGCTGCTGAAGATGGAGATGGAGCGCCTATGTTTGTGTCCCAAGTGCTGTGATGATGATTCCTAATTCAATATTCTGGGTTCTGGGGCCCTATTATATAGAAAACAAAAAACAGACCCCCTGCCTACCCAAAAGCAACTTGTAAGAGTTAACAAATTGGGAACTTCCTTTGAAGTCAGAGTGCATCTGCCTGAGAGGCAGTGAACCAACAGTCTGCACACAAATGAGTCAGATATGTAAAATGGATGCACACGCAAAAGATTCTGGAACAAGACTGCAGTCGAGAAGTGAACAAACACCCAGAACTTTCCACCAGATTCTACAGCTGATGAACTCAAAGAAGAAGAACATTGTGAGTGATGGGAGGAACTGTATCTATGCTATTCATGTAACCTGTCTGTCAAGTATGGGACATACGTTTATGTCTGGCCACTGACAAACTACATATAACCTCCTTGATTTTTTTGTCTTGTGAACTGAGTAATTACGCTTACTTATCAGTTTTTGTAATTTCATTTGCAACTAACAAGTCACTTCATGTTGTTAGGATCAGGAGCTACCAGTTTAATTCACTTTGATGGATGTTCCACCAGTGATGGCCTGAAGACAATGATCTCCATTGTGACTGACTTGACAGAAGACATGTCCTCCGGCAGGTAATGATACCACATCTCTTCTGTTTGTGTTACAGCCTGTATGCACTTGCCTGCCAAGAAAGTAGTCCAGGTTGTCTCTTTAAGTAGGAAGATAGTTTTCTAGCTGGGACAAGTCTGGGATCGACCCAGCCTCACATTATTGATTCCAGATAATTTCTAGAACTTCTGGGAATTGTCAGGGAAAGAAAGGTAGGAAGGAAGAGGACTGGTCAACTCACCTTTTGTACCATAGCCTAGAATGTGGGAAAGCTTAACATATCACTTAGGATTCTTTTCCTAAATCTTATTTAATTGTTTATAGAAAATGCACTTGATGAGATACAACACAGTTGTCCAGGCAGTAACTTATGCAGTCTGAAGTTTGTGTCTTCTTTGTTCAGATTTACAATGGAGAAACAATGCTTTGAATCATTTCTCTGTTGGTGGCTGTTGTGTGCTAAACTCACTTTGTGGTTCAATTGTACCAGGCATCAGGGACATGATCGCCTACGCCAGCCGCGAAGGCTTTGGATGATGATGGTGTTAGAGGCGAGTGCCGAATGGTCTGCGCGGTTAAAGTGTGAGACGAGTGTTTCTCAAGTTTAGCGAGAGACAGAAATTTTACCCATTTTTTGCGAGACTTATGCTTGGCCAGACGTTGAGCTGAAAGTTAGTTCGTGGCCAGTTAGTGACTCTCATTTTGTTATGGAGTTAGGACATAGGTGACGTTCAGTTGTAATCATGTGTATTATTTTATTCTAGAGCAAGCTTAGATTGTTTGTTAGAGTCTGGTGTATGTTTCGGAATTCTCCATTTAATGGGTTCAAGGCGTTGAGTGCCTAACATCTCTTTATGATCCAACTGCGAGGATGTGTTCCTGACCTCATTGGAGGCTGACTGCAACTGTGTCGGGAGGCATAGTGCCTACCTCTAGTCAGCTAATATGTATAGGTTATAGGTGACCCAAAGTGTGGGAACATAACTAAGGTGTTTTTAAAAGCTACTAATGACGCCAGGAGGGGGCCTTTAGGCCGAAAGGTGTTGTGGACACATCAAGTTGAGGCTAGGTGTCACCCTTTGAAGTCATACCACCTTGGAAGTATATCAGTGGAGAATTAGGCAGACAGTAATTCTGTAATAACCAATTCATCTTCATTGCCACACTGCGTTTTGTTCCAATAAATAGACTGATGCACGATTATAGGCGTGACTCTTCCCGTATTGTTGATGTGGTTGGCTGGTGACTGTTATCGGTGTTAGTTGTACAATGTGACTATATGAACTGTGTTAGTTAATCATTCTCTGGTAGGGAACCCAATTAGTTGCCTGAAGGCCGACTTGGGAACTTTTGCATATATGGGTGAAGGGTTAATCATTCACCTCTAGACACTCGGCAAGGAGACGGTGCCTTACTGGCCATCGCTTCGTAACAATAGTCCAACCCAGGCAACTGCTTTGGCAGGCAAATGAACTAACCTCTTTGGCAGTGTCTAGGCAAATGCAACTGAAAAAAAGCATTACTGTTGATAAGAATATTTTAAAGAAAAGAAATAGGGCTTGGTTATTTATTTGATAGTGTATGCACATTGCCTTGTTAATGGCTGTCTTCTCTTTTCTGTCAGGCTAGAATTTCATTTAGTTGGAGGCTTCAGTGACGAGAGAAGAAACTCACATGAGGTGGCAGACAAAGTCTTCAGTAAGTCAAACTAGCAGATTAGTCATTTAAAATTATTTGTACTACATTAATAAATAGATTTAAAGAAACGAGAAATACATTGATCATATACAGTGCAGTGGATTGATTGGCAAGTCGCAAGTGGATAATCCCTGTGGTAAATGGTCACAGACAGACTGTTAATGGACTCAAAGACAGAGGTTGCTCATGCAAGCAGTGCATAAACTGAATGTGTGGGCACATAAAAACCAGCATCTACACAGCACACAAAAGCCAGCACCAAGAGCTTCTTCAAAACCTGAAGCTGAAAGTGAAAGGCAGAACTAAACTGCAAAATAGTGGTAGAAGATTTGATTATTTTGTTATGTAAAAGTGAAGGAGTGCAATTTGTCCCTAAAGCGTGTTGATATTAATGTGTATTTTTGTTTTGTTTGTGCCTACAACTTGTTGGTCCACTGAGCAACTTTCGCTTAATTTCTGTACATAATTTATGCTACCCTGAAGAAAGGATCTATGCCCTGTAATTAGGAACTAAACTATTACAAGTGGAGAAGTTAATCACGTGACCTCTTATCGTCAGCAGTTGGCTGCAATGAATCTACATCACTTTGTGTTTGTTGCCCAGAGAATACACTCTGCCCATTTCTTGATGTTATCTTCCCACTTGTATCGCTGCCTGCCACTTGCTTGACTATTTTCAGTTTCAGAATCTATAGGAGATACATTTGAAATATATAAACATTAAAAAATTACAAGATTTGCAGATTTTAGACAATGGACTGCTGGCAGTGATCTAAACTGGATGTTGAATGTGAAGTCTTAGCCACTTACACAGTTCTAAGATCTCAAATGTTTCATTATTTCAGTATATTTTATTTCCAATGGATATCTGAGATGTAAAAAATTAGAGAAGTGAGGAAGGGAGCTGGTGATTTTAGCTGTATAAATACGGTGTTTGTTACATGATCATTTTTGTATTTAGCAAAAGGTTTATATTTGTGTGTGTCATTTGCTTGCTTCATATTTTTATTGTTTTTTTTTTCCTTCCCCTATCTTTTACATGTAACTAACCTATCTGTCTTTCTTTACATGCTTTTTGTTTGTTTACCCGTTTATACATTTCTTGTCTGTCTGTTTATCTTAAACATAATGTTGTCTGCCTATCTTTTGCCTTTGTTACTGTCTTATACAAGTCTTTTGTCTTTATGCCAACCTTATACATTATTTGCCTGTTTGCCCCCCTTATACATATTTGTAGCTGCTTTATACTTTGGCCTTATACTAATGCTTTTTGCCTGTCTGCCTCCCACTTTGGGTTCCAGGGCCCTATTCTGGAGGGAAAAAGAGGAAAAAGGGGGGGGGTAGACCCTCTCTAGCAAGCATGTGATACAAGGTGACTAATTAGGGGAGTTACCTCCCTTAGAGGCGAGGGGCCAACAGTGCATACAAATAAGCAAAACTCAAAGTTCGGAAACAAGACCAAAGTCCAAAAATGCATGAACAACCGGACCTTTCTACAGAGTTTACAGTCCGTGAAGGCTAAGAAGAAGAAAAGAATAGCATGTCTGCCTTACATGTTGTTCTTCCCGACCCACTCATGCATGTCTACCTTACATGTTGTTCTTCTCTGACCCACTCATACATGTCTGCTTTACATGTTATTTTTCTCTGACCCACTCATACATGTCTTTTGCCATTTGGTCTGCTTGAGTATGTTGTATGTTTTTCACTCCCTATCTGTCTGTCTGTCATATTTGTGTTTGCCTGCCTGCCTGCTTTACTTGTTTTATGTAAATAATTTGAGATTAAAAATGTACTATGCTCGGTAATTACCAGCAGTGGCGGAAGATCCTAATGTCTTCCCTCAAAATTTTGATGAAGTAGCTAGAGAAAGTGAAGAAGAAGAAGGTGACTGCATAAAATATCTCCACCACAGAATCAAGTTATTGACACATATGTGGAAGAAAAAAATAAATTGTTGTGTGCGGACAGTTAACAATAATCATGTAAGTAACTTGAAAAGACGGTAACAGAAATACGATACTTACGGAGAGCTGATGGAGACTGTGTAAAAGAGGAGGAAATACCATAAATATACAGTGGAAATACAATAGACACTATACGTCCCACTGATAGTTGAAATGGATATTTATGTGAAAACTGCTGGTACTTGAAGGATGTATGCTATCTGAGATGTGAAAGACAGAAGGTGTGAATAAAGTTTGTAGCAGGAGCTTTTGTCTATTTCAGTGGCCTTGTACCAGTGTGGCCAAGACATCCATCTAGTAACAGCATGTATACTTAGTAAGTTATAATATGTAAGTTATATAGAGTGTAAGTTGAGTTATTTAGAGTCTAAGTTATATAGAGTGTAAGTTATTTAGAGACTCACAGTAAAACATGCTGTTTAGTTCACTTGCCTTGTCTCTGCACATACATTGTATATTGTTGCTTCTCTTACTGTATTAAATAAGTTAAACACAGAATAGCTCAAGCAAAAGCGGCATTTCACAGCCTGACAAATATAAGTGCAGTCTTACATCAATTGAGTTAGAAATAAAAGCACTATAGAGCCATATAGAGGCAATTCTGATGTATGGAAGTGAATCATGGATGGTCAAACAGTTAGTGAAAACATTTTGTGGAAGCTGCATAATAGTGTTTTTGTAGACTAATGTCACTACAAATGAAAACATGATACAGAGATGTTGAAGTTCTATAGATAAATGGTAAAAACACCATAGACAGATAATGTCACCTGAGGTTCTGTAGGCAAATTATTAGAACACCATAAACAGATGTTACCTAAGTTCTGTAGACAGATGATAACTCCATAGACAAATTATGTCACCTGAGGTTCTGTAGACAAATGATAACACCATAGACATATAATGTCACCTGAGGTTCTGTAGACAAATGATAACACCATAGACAGATAATGTCACCTGAGGTTCTGTAGGCAAAGGATAACACCATAGACATATAATGTCACCTGAGGTTCTGTAGGCAAATGATAACACCATAGACATATAATGTCACCTGAGGTTCTGTAGACAAATGATAACACCATAGACAGATAATGTCACCTGAGGTTATGTAGACAAATGATAACACCATAGACATATAATGTCACCTGAGGTTCTGTAGACAAATGATAACACCATAGACATATAATGTCACCTGAGGTTCTGTAGACAAATGATAACACCATAGACAGATAATGTCACCTGAGGTTCTGTAGACAAATGATAACACCATAGACATATAATGTCACCTGAGGTTCTGTAGGCAAATTATTAGAACACCATAGACATATAATGTCACCTGAGGTTCTGTAGACAAATGATAACACCATAGACAGATAATGTCACCTGAGGTTCTGTAGACAAATGATAACACCATAGACATATAATGTCACCTGAGGTTCTGTAGACAAATGATAACACCATAGACATATAATGTCACCTGAGGTTCTGTAGACAAATGATAACACCATAGACATATAATGTCACCTGAGGTTCTGTAGACAAATGATAACACCATAGACATATAATGTCACCTGAGGTTCTGTAGACAAATGATAACACCATAGACAGATAATGTCACCTGAGGTTCTGTAGACAAATGATAACACCATAGACAGATAATGTCACCTGAGGTTCTGTAGACAAATGATAACACCATAGACAGATAATGTCACCTGAGGTTCTGTAGACAAATGATAACACCACAGACATATAATGTCACCTGAGGTTCTGTAGACAAATGATAACACCATAGACAGATAATGTCACCTGAGGTTCTGTAGGCAAAGGATAACACCATAGACATATAATGTCACCTGAGGTTCTGTAGACAAATGATAACACCATAGACATATAATGTCACCTGAGGTTCTGTAGACAAATGATAACACCATAGACATATAATGTCACCTGAGGTTCTGTAGACAAATGATAACACCATAGACAGATAATGTCACCTGAGGTTCTGTAGGCAAAGGATAACACCATAGACATATAATGTCACCTGAGGTTCTGTAGACAAATGATAACACTATAGACAGATAATGTCACCTGAGGTTCTGTAGGCAAATGATAACACCATAGACATATAATGTCACCTGAGGTTCTGTAAACAAATGATAACACCATAGACAGATAATGTCACCTGAGGTTCTGTAAACAAATGATAACACCATAGACAGATAATGTCACATGAGGTTCTGTAGGCAAAGGATAACACTATAGACATGTAATGTCACCTGAGGTTCTGTAGACAAATGATAACACCATAGACAGATAATGTCACCTGAGGTTCTGTAGACAAATGATAACACCATAGACAGATAATGTCACCTGAGGTTATGTAGACAAATGATAACACCATAGACAGATAATGTCACCTGAGGTTATGTAGACAAATGATAACACCATAGACAGATAATGTCACCTGAGGTTCTGTAGACAAATGATAACACCATAGACAGATAATGTCACCTGAGGTTATGTAGACAAATGATAACAACATAGACAGATAATGTCACCTGAGGTTCTGTAGACAAATGATAACACCATAGACAGATAATGTCACCTGAGGTTCTGTAGACAAATGATAACACCATAGACAGATAATGTCACCTGAGGTTGTGTAGACAAATGATGAGAATGCTATAGTTGTATAATGTCAACTGAGATTCCATTGATTCCAGCAAGAGTAGTCCTCCCTAGTTGCCACACTATACACTTTGTGGTTAGCTGGCATGTATAGTGACCGGCAGGAAGTGCCCTGGCTACATGAGACTGGTCAGAACTTTCTTTCATGTCTGCCAGCTGGATCTAATACAAACATGGCAGCCTGTGTTTTCTTTGATCAGTTTACAAATATTCCATGAGACTGCGGCAGAAACAGGAGTTACTGCAATGGAGCTGATAGTAAGAAGTACCAAGTACAAAATAAACTTGTGTCTGTAAAGTTTTACAAAAGGAACAGGAAAGACATGCACGAATACAGCTGAACGTAGACATGGTCAACTGAACTTTAAACAGTAAGCGAAATTACGGAATAAACATTGTGAATTTGACTTTATTTATTTCCACTACCTGCAGAAAGGTACATATTGAGGAAACTGGTTTAAATAGTTATGACTACCAAGGTGAAATCAGCATCTGTGTTACTGCCATAGAAATTTTCTCCAATAACTACACCAGACAGGTCTCCTTGAAAATTTTTTTCATTTGTAGTTTTGGCATTCTCAACAGGGATCAATGTTCAGCATGAAAAAACAAAACAAATACTGCCTGTATTTACCACTCTGTAGACAGAGGTGTCTTTGGGCTTGAGGATTTAGGGATGTCTAGTGCTGTTGCCAGAGACCCCTGATCGACAAAATCTAGGACCTTACAGAAGATTTGACCCTGGGTCTCCTGCATGAGAGCCCAGCCTTCCTAATTGTTTGGGCTGCCACTCTTCAATATTCAGCAGGACTATAACAATTGTATTAATTAACATGACTATTATTTCTCATCCATTTTCCATGCTCCTTATTTGTTTCATTTTTTAATATGGACCTTCATTCCCATATTTTCTTCTATTATGTATTTCTGGTTCCATCTTGACCTTGGCTATTCATTAGTTATGTTGCTTTATCCATTTATAAAGACTTTGGTTGAAACAGTTTGTTGTATTTGCGTGCCTCTTTTCCATCCCTGAGATGATCTTGTCAACCACTCTGCCCCGCTTATTAAGCTGAATCTTTAAGGACACCTTTCACTGTTGTGAATATAAATATTTATTTTGTATATAGTAGTCGGTGTCTGTGGCTTAGGCGTTGACCCCATGTTGTGTGCTAAATTGAGTCAGCACACTACCAAGTGTCTAGCAGGTACTCTTCAGCTTCCTTTCTTAACAAGACAACTCGACGACGATGACACCGTCATACAAGTTTATTTAACAGGATACATGACACAAATGCAGAGACGTAGTTATTGATCACAGCTGACATTCGCACATCGTTCATTTGTCCTCACAGCTCTCTAACTCTCAATATGTAGTGACCTCTCCTGGTCTACTGCAGATACCAGGATGACGGCGTCCCACTCTCTGGACGCGTCATACAGCTGAACAGGACGACTTCTCCCATTCACTGGACCTTGATATTAATTCAGCATACAACACTGCTGACTGGAGACGGACTTCTCTTGCCGTACTGCGAAACCAGGCACTACTGGTCTTCCCGTCCCCTGGACTTACTTTGCCAGCGGGACCATATTTTCCATACCGCAATTCCGACACTTACTCGGACGTAAATGCCCGATAGTCGTACGGTATGTTTGTCTGTTAGACTCGCGAGATTACCTGGACCCTGACTTAGTCTCTGACTCTCGCTTATCTCGGCTGATCCCTCGTGCTGGGTGTATACTACACCCACACTTCATCAATGCCCTTAGCCCTGTGGCTACATCTCTCTCTCTGTCTACTGCCCCCGAGGGGCTTTAGCCCTCAGGCTACAGCTCACTCTCTGGACTGTTTACGCAGCCCAATTTATATATGTTGAATCCGTGTAGGTGGATGGTGATTACACAAGAGGCACGCTTGTGTGGGCGTTCTCGAGGATCACGCTTATGTGGGTGGCTGATGTTACCCGAGAATCACGCTGTCACTTAATTCACACTTTATCTCGTTATCCAAGCTTTCAGCCCACCACACAGAATCCTACGCGTCCACTTTCTCTCGTGCAAGCACGCCTTGTTCATGAATAGACGTTTTCACTGGTCTCCTCTTAATACTCGGATCATATTGACACTCTTTCCTCGTGAACTTACAGGAAGTACAGGCATACTATTGTCCCTTCCCACAATATCACACTTAACCCAAATCAGCGCGCAACATCATATCCTCCCCCTCTCCCAACTGACAACTAACTGAAATTAAGTTGTCAGTTGTTGAGTTAGAACAAATCCTTGTTGCGTGCTGATTTCACAATTATAATAATCTTTGAACATGTGATATCGTAACATCCAACAACAATGCAGTTAACTAAAGTATCATTGTATATCTCAATACAGCAAACACTTGGCTATTAATCTAATTTTAACAACTATGTTATGTTTGATACAGTGTAAAGCGGCCTTCATTTAGGTAGTGGGCACCCTTGAACACTGTGTAGTGAATTGACACAGCTGCATGTTCCCCCGTTGCTGTACCTCGTCTCTTGCTTAACTTTCTGTAGGCATACATGACCGGATGTAAATGACCTCTAAAGTCGTATGGGAGCACGTCGCTTAGATTGATGTCACACACGT